TGGCTCTACCATTTACTTGCTGTGTGGCCTTGGGCAACTGCCTTTACCTCTCTGAACCTGCTCCCCCCTCGGTGAGATGGGGATAGTATAGCCTCCTCCTCTGGGTGTCACCTGCCCGGTTTTCTGCCAAAACACAGTGACTGGTTCAGCCCTGGGAACTGCTTCCATGTATGTGTGTGTGTGTGTGTGTGTGTGTGTGTGTCCGTGTGTCCATGTGAGTCTGTGTGTAAGGTGGCACATGCTCCCCTTGGCTCACCTGGAAACAGGAAGACAAAAAGCAAAGGCACTGAAGGCAGAAGACATGGCTGCGGGGCTCCAGCTCAGAGACCCTCCTGGCTGGGGGCCGCTGGTTCCACAGGGAGACCCTGGGATGCTCCAGAGTCCTCAGACTGGGGAGGAAGGCCTCGCCTCCGTGGACTTACCTGCCGTAGTATAAGATCGTTTCGGGCTTAATGGATCCATCCAGGTGGACATGCAATTCTACCTGCAAGGGGCAAAGGGAAGAGAGAGAGAACACACCCCATGAATGCCGGGAGGACCTTCAGGGCCAGTGCTCACATTCACCACGATGACTATCAGTCACTACTCACCGCTCCCGTACACACAGGTCACTAACGTCTACACACACCATCTTGTTAACCCTCATCTGTGCGGTGGGTTTCTCGCTCTCTTTCATACTGAGAACACGGAGGTTCAGAGAGGTTAAGTAACTTGTCCACTGCTACAGAGCAAGCCGGTGATGGAAGCAGGAACCCAACCCAGGCCTGTGCGCTTACCACAGCCAGTTAAGGGACAGAACCAGAATTCTAACCTGAGCCCAATCCCTACACCTCAGGACAGCCATGGTCCCGTAGGAGCCACCGAGCCCAGCCACACAGGCAGGTCCTGCTCAGACAACACACTCAGCAAACTCCAACTTTCACACGAAGGGCTGACCACAGACTTCCTGGACTAGCGAACCACATGACGCATTTCAGAAATGCGGCTCCATGTTCAAAAGCAGGTGCCGCTCAAGCACAGCTTCTCAGGGATCGGTATGAAAGCAGCACCAGGTCTTTCCAGGACTCTGGAAGCGACACCATATACTCAGCCATCTGGGTGATCGGCGCCTACTCGCGTGACCCCACAGGAAACGCTCTGCGCCTGAAGCCAGGAGTTTAAGGACAGGGGCTGGGACACAGCCTCAGGCTCGACCCCAGCTCTGCCCCTTCTTCTGCTGTGTGACTTAGACAACACTCAGCGGCTGTGACTGCCTCCCTAGCCAAGACCACTGGTAAGGACCCAAAACGACAGTGTCGGCGGGTCTGTCCGGCCCATGGAGCAGCCCCCGCCTCTGGGTGTCTCAGGAGCTGTGGGCAATGGCACAGCAGCGCTGAGGACAGCGGGAAAGCGCCTTGGCATCTGCTGTTCCAGGCCCCGAAGGACACTGTTCCTGTGCCCGGGGATCCGAAAACTCACTGACGTCTCCCTCAGGGTGGGGCCTTTTCTGGAACTTAGGGACGTGGACAAGCAAGTGGCTGCCTTGGCCGGGGAGGCGGCGGAGGGCATCAGGAGACACGCACATGCGCTTCCTGCTGCAGAGGAACCCCGCCCAGGCCCAGGCGAGGCCGGGGCTCAGAGCTGCCAGGCCCGCCTTTCAGCTGGATGTCGCTCATCAGAGCTCTCAGAGGTCACCCAGCAGCACGGGCCAGGCAGCCCCCACACCCAGCTCGGCGCGCACTGAGCTGCTGCTTCCCGGACTAACGGCTCAGTGCCCACTCAGCCAAATGCTTACCGGTTCCCCCAAAATGCTCAGCACTGGGAGCACTGACGCCTCCAGTCCAGGGACCTGCCGACCAGCTGTGTGACTTTGGAGAGAGGACCCCACCTCTCTGAGCCCCCATTTTCTTATCCTTAAGCCTTCCCGTGGTGAGGGCCCAGCCAGAGAGGCAGGGTCGCCTTGTGGTTAGAGCTGGAATCCCAGCTCCTCTACTTGCTCCCTGGGTGCCCTGGGGTTCCCACCAGCCCGACAGGGGAGGTAACAGGCCTCCCTCCTGCTTGGGGAGGGTTAACCATGGTAATCACACAGTGCGCTTAGCACAGAGCAAACGCTAAACAATCCTCAGCTACGAGGCCTTCATTCCCCAGATGCTCAAGGCCCTGCTGGGTGTGGGAGGGGAGCGGTAAGCTAAAGGGACGCCCCTGTGATGCTTACAGCCCAGCCAGGGAGAGACACGAGGCATCACATCGATAGAGGTCCATCCCCTTGGGAAGCAAAAACACAGTCCAGTGAAACAGCCAACACAAGAAAGAACCTCGCCCGGCCAGCAGGCCAGCAATGGCTTCCTGGAGAAAGCAGATCTTGGGCTAAGATCTGAAGGATGAAGAACCAAGTGAGGAAGATGATGGAACACTTCAGGCAGAGAGAACAGCCCTGACACAGGCGGTGCCGTGAGGGGAACATGGTGTAGGGGTGCAGAGGGAGGAGGGGTTTGGGACTGGAGAGGCTGCTGGCCGCCCGGCCCCAGAAGAGCAGAAACGTGTCCCTGGGACCGAGGATGCAGGGCCCAGGCCCAGGAGGAGGGGTTCCCCACCCTGCTGGCCTCAGGAGCTCGGGGAGGCTTCAGAAACTTACAGGTGCCTGTGCCCACGCAAGTCAATTCCAGCACCACCCTTGGGGCGGGCCCGGGCACAGGGGTTTTGCTTTTTTAACATAAGGCCAAGATCGAGGCGCACTGCCCTCCAGCAACCATTCCAGAGGCCCGAGGGCGCAGAATCCACACTGGAGTAGGGCGAGCAAGAGGCAGAGGTAAGGAAGTGGAGACAATTTAGGTGGATGCGAACTGAAACACAAAAGACTTGCACTTCTTTTCCAGGCAGAAATGACGTGGGCATGTTTAAACGAGGACGGAGGAGACTGGAGTCGAGAGAAAAGAGTTGCACGAGGATCGAAAAGGTAGGAGAGGTTAGAAGGCGAAAACCAGAGCGCCTCTGAGTCCCGGGCAGCAGTGAGTCTGGGGGATTGCCCCGGTGCTGTTGCCCCTCGTGGACGGGGTGGGCCTGCGCGGCTACTTCTGCCCAAGCACTTACATGCCGCTTGGCTCCCGCACGCCATGGACATGCCCATCTGCCCGCATCCCTGCATGACTGAGATGGGCATGTCATATGAGCAAGAATGGGCACCTCTGGCCCGGCTGGCGTGGCTCAGTGGTTGAGCGTTGACCTATGAACCAGGAGGTTAAGGTTGGATTCCGGGTCAGGGCACATGCCCAGGTTGCAGGCTGAGTCCCCAGGGTGGGGCATGCAGGAGGCAGCTGATCAATGATTTTCTCTCATCATTGATGTTTCTCTCTCTCCCTCTCCCGTCCTCTCTGAAATCAAAAAAATATATAATCTAAAAAAAAAAAATGGACACCTCCGCCGCCTTCCCCTGGGGATGTTGGTTCGTGGCAGACCAGAGTCTGTCCTGCCTGAGCAGACATACATACCTTTCAGGACTCACTGCACCAATAGTGGTGGGAAATGAACCAAATGCACGAGGAAAAGAAAAACACAAGGGGGTCAGGGGAGGGTTGGGGTGGGGTAGCTCAAAGTGTTTAGAAAAGATCACTCTGTGTGGGGGGGACGGGGGTGAATAGGGAATCAGTGGGGGGAGGGGGAGAAGGGAGGACAGAGAGCTGTTCCAGACAGAGGGAACTGCATGTGCTAAGCAATCAGGGAACGAATTGGTTCAAGTGCAGAGAATGTTGGTGGTGAGAGATGAAGCCAGAGAAAGTCAGGGGGTGGAAGGCAGGGAGACCCAGTGATGTTTCAAAACGGGGCTGATCTTTTAAAAGCGTTTTCTGCTCCTGTGTGGTGAGCAGGTTGGCGGGAGGCAGAATGGAAGACAGAGCTGGCTCAGGACCCAGATGGGAGATGAGCAGTAACCAGAATCCCTACAGCATCACACAGTGGGTGCTCGGGAAGCATGAGCTACGGCACAGGGTGCATGGTGGAAGGTCGCAGAGAGCCGGCAGGAGGCGAGCATGCCCCTGGGAGAGAGCAGGCAGAGCCCAGCTGCTCACCGTGCCCACGGGTGCCACCTCCTTGTGGGGGAAGCAGAGGCAGGAGCCACCTCCTCGAGCAGCCCAAGCTCAGGCAGGCCTCCCGTTGAACTTTCTGGAAAACTGTAACTCGCCATGGAGAAGTGTCACCCACCCAGATGACAATGGGGTGCAAGCTCCGAGACTGCAATGGGGACCCTGCTCCGCTGAGCCCACTCCGGGAAAAGGGGCAGCAGGGGCTTCTGGCTTATCTGCCAGGTGCTGGGCCGTCCACAGGCATGACCTTATTTCATCCTCACAACCAGGAAGGTTGGGACGTCACTCCTATCTTACAGATGGGGAAACCGAGGCTCAAAGAAGTCTCTACGGACACAGTCAGTCAGTGATGGAATCAGGATTTGAACCCAGGTCTGAGTCTTGAGCTCCCACAGGCCTCGCCTCAGGTAGAAATAATGCAGCAGTAATAGCAGCAGCTGCCTATTAGCACACCCTTCGTCTCCTTTCATCTCAGCCCCTCAGCAGAGGTGTACAGGAGCCCCATCAGGACTTGCCAAGCTCAACTTGGCGAAATGCAGTGACCTGCCTAGGGTCACACCGATCTATGATGGCAGAGCTGGGCTGGAACCCAAGTCTCTCCAACTCTAAGCCCAAGTCCCGCCAGGGCCACACCACCTCCCTGGCACTGCGCCAGGCTCCTGGGGAAGAACCTCATGCCCCTTCCCCGCACCCGCTCTCCGCGAGGCTGACTCACAAGCAGAACTGCAGGAAATCCTCCCGATCTGAGCAGGAAGCATACCCCGTAACCAACAAATATTTACTGTCGGGCCCTGGGGAAGCACGCCGAGCCCCCTCAGGAGATGCCAGCCACACGGCGAGGCGGGGCGGTGCGCTCACTTGCCCAGGCTCAGCCGAGGTGGCAGTGGCAGAGCCAGGACGAGGACCCAGGTCTTGGGTGGGT